GTTCTTTGATGTCTGATAACTGATCCCTTCTACACTTCATGGCCATACAGGCTGGTGTGCTTCTTCCATGTGGGCTTTGAAGCTTCTCAGCTACATGGCTCCTTGTTTGTCTTCAAGCCTTTAAGACCCAAGATGTTATATCTTTTGGTAACTGGACACCATCAGCTTTCTTCACCAGCTTTGCTTATGTTCACATTTTTCTTCAGCAAGCGTGTTGGGAAGGTGTGCATCCTGGAATGCCAATTTAAAAGAACAATGTGTTCTTGCAATGAGTAAGTGCTTGAGTGGAGGCCCAATGTCCATATGCTGCCTTAATACTAAACCTATAGATATATGCACGTAGATCTGTTTCCCCACACTCTTATATAAATACATTTACATATGTACATTCAGTCTTAAAACCTCTCTGTATACCCTTTGTCCCCTAGTTCTTTCCTCTGTTTCCCTTTACTTTTGTCTTGTCCCACTATCATGCTCAGCCTTCATTTGGGTCTCAGTGATTTCTCTCCGTTACATTGCCCTTGCTGAATCCCTACCAGGCCTCTCACACCCTCCTTGCCACGGTTTTTGGATCACTTGTTGCTCCCCTGTCCCTGGGTTGGTCAGCACCACCTCCTTACCTCCCCCTTCCCATCCTGAAAACCCGTTGTTTTCTCCTCCAGTCTACCTTATCTAGATAGATCTGTAGAAATAATAATATGCATCAAAAGCCAAGCCATAGCAAGATAGGTGATCAGTGAGAACACAACAATGGCAACAAAAAAGGAAGCCAATTAGCCATAGAAGAATAAATTAAAAGAAAAAATTTTTAAACGGAAAGAAAATCCTATAAATAGATCAAGGTCTGATTTTTTATCTTTAGGCATGTCCTTCAGTCAGGACCGATGGGGTACTATGCTCTGGCCCCCGAGTCTGTCCTTTGTACTCCCTGGGGGGGCTCTTGTTCTGCTCCCATGGTTGCTCTGCCATATGCTTTTAGTGGTTTGCCTCTGTGTCTCAGGGTGAGTCTGGGCCAGTCCCGACACTGAGTCTCCAGTGTTGTCCTCCTTAGAGCCCGGGGCCATCAAAGGACGGTGTGTCTCTTGGTGTGATCAGCCATATTGTCCACTCTGTCCATTGGCTGTTCAGAGCGGGGATGTCGTCCTCCAGGCCTGGTGGGTCAGGATGTGCACCACTCTCTCTTCCTCCCCCTAAGTGCTCCCATTTGCTCTGATCAGACATGCCCCTCTCCCCTAGCTGCAGCTTCATTGCCGTCCTCTCAAGTAAATTCTTCTGGGGGGAGGGGCAGTGTCCCCATAGCTGGCATGGGGGCCGAGCCCTCAGGCCCCTCCACTGGCTCCCCACTCCTTGACAACAAGCTGTATTCATCTGACATTGGCTTCAAATCTGGCCCCTCTTTCCCTGTGGAGACACAAACAATACCCTTCCCTTGGGTGGGTCAGTGCCCTATTCCCCCATCACATATCCTTTTTATTTTTCCTTTCACCTTTCCTCCCTACCACCCCCCCTTTGTTGTTGACTACCCTATGTACACCTGGATTTGGTCTGGCCCTTGCCATACTACCTGGACCTTACCCCTAGGGTATTTGTATACTACAGTAGCTTTTTCCCAGTGCCCCTTTTACATTTACCTTTCTGTTCTTTCTTTTTAATATATATATAAAATTACCTCAGCAGACTTATGTAATCCTTGTCTTTTGTGCTTGGCTTACTTTGCTTAGCATTATTTCCTCCAGTTATTCCCATGTGGCAATATGCTTCATGCATTCATCACTGCTTTTTAGTGATGCATAGTACTCTATTGTATGTATGTACCACAGTTTTTTAATCCATTCATCTGTTGATGGAAATTTGGGTTGCTTCCAAATCCTTGTGATTGTGAACTGTGCCTCAATGAACATTGGGGCACAGATGTCTGGCTGTGGTTTGTTTCTTGCCTCTTCTGGGTATATGCCCAGTAGGGAGATTGCTGGGTCCTGTGATAACTCAATTTCCATCTGTTTGAGAAATCACCAAATCTAATTCCATAGCGGCTGTACATATCTACAGGTCCATCAGAAATGGATGAGAGTTCCTGTCTCACCACAGCTCCTCCAACACTTGTTGCTTTCTGATTTTTTGAATTGAGCTATCTTTGCAGGTGTTAGGTGGTAACTCATAGTTGTTTTGATTTGCATTTCTCTTATGGCTAATGATCAGAAACATTTCCTCATATGTTTATTGGCCATTCGGATTTCAGACTCTGTGAAACTTCTGTTCAGGTCCTTTGCCCACCTCCTCAGTGGGGAGTTAGTTTTTCTCTTATTGTGAGCTTGCAAAGTATTGTAGATTATAGTAATAAGACCTTTGATGTGTCATTGCTAAAGATGTTTTCCCAGTCAGTGGACTCTCTTATTCCTCTCTTGGTGAATTATTTCGATGTACACAGGTGTCTTATCTTTAGTATGTCCCATTTGTCTACTTGTGACTCCTCTATGTTTGAATCCTTTCCTATTTCTGATAACCTGTGTATTCCCTGTGCTAAGGTTCTCAGGTTTGTCCCAATTCCCTTAGGAAAGGACACAAACATAGAGGAGTCTATGAACTACCTACCGGTAGCTGTACTGAGGGGTCAGGATATCGCTATAGCTTCCTGTGGTTTCACTCTTGTCCTGGTCATCCAGTATTCCATTACTTGGAATGTGTGTTGGATATTCCTCTCATGTGACACTGGTCGAGATGTTGTGGGCCCATGAGGACCTTGCTTCCCTGGCTGATCTCTAACTAGGCTGCACGGTTCTTGGAACACCTCGGCTGACTTGAGGTGTTTTCCTCTGTGACTGGAGTGCTGAGGAGGGTGTGTTGGTATACCCACCTTGGTGTAGAGC